TATTGTACTGTCTACATAGTTTTTTTAATCCAAATGTATTTCATATGCTCTGCAAGCTTCCTTAGTTACAGCACTCTAAAGATTTTCTAAGTCAATTATCAGTTTAAAAGTCAAAATAGAGGGGCGCCTGGGTGGCGCAGTCGGTTAAGCGTCCGACTTCAGCCAGGTCACGATCTCGCGGTCCGTGAGTTCGAGCCCCGCGTCAGGCTCTGGGCTGATGGCTCGGAGCCTGGAGCCTGTTTCCGATTCTGTGTCTCCCTCTCTCTCTGCCCCTCCCCCGTTCATGCTCTGTCTCTCTCTGTCCCAAAAATAAATTAAAAAACGTTGAAAAAAAATAAAAAAATAAATAAATAAATAAATAAAAGTCAAAATAGATATGAGGAAATATCTAATCAACCTATGGGAAAGTCTGCTAATGGCATATATTTTAATAAATAAAAACACCTAGAATGTCAAAAACATCCTACCACTCTGTAAACAAATGACACTGCACAGGAGAAATATTGTATACCCTACATACACATCCTGGCAATGGACAAACTGCTTCAGTTACAGAAGAACAGTACACTAACATAACACTGATATGTTCACTATAATTTTCATGTGGAATATTTAATAAAGTCAGTTGTTCACTGTTGTAAATTTTTTGCTACATTAATATTTATTATCTAAAAAATTTGCCAATGCAATGAATTTTAAATGATAGGCAGAAATGTACATCTCCGAGGTAACATGTTGGATACCAACCTAAAAAAAATTAAAGGGCCCATCACAAATCTTACAAAAAACTAACATGAGACACATGTTGTCTACTTGTTGTATAGTACATCAATTTTGTTTATATCTATAAAGTATTATTAATACAAGAAATAAAGATAAAAATGTTTTCCTGAATTTCCTAAACTGACAGATTTTAGTACTGTAAAATATGTTAATACACACTGTAAACTAAAACAAGACAGAAGGACTCGGTATTTAGAGAGTATAATGCTAAGCTAAATAAGTCAGTAAAGACAGATACGAAATAATTTCACGCACATGTGGAATTTAAGAAACAAAACAAATGAGCAAAGGAAAAACACAGAGACAGAGAGGGAGACAGAAACCAAGAAACAGACTTTCAACTATAGAGCACAAACTGATGATTACCAAAGGGAGGTGGGTGGGGGGATGGTCAAATAGGTGATGGGGATTAAGGAGTGCACTTGTCATCATGAGTAATGGATGATGTATGGAATTGTTAAATCGTTATATTGTACACTTGAAACTAATACAACACTGTGTTAACTACACTGGAATTAAAATAAAAACTTAAGTAAAAAAGAAGGGCTTAGTATTTGAAAAAAATAGAAATGTATATACATCGAGATTTCTTTTTTTAATAAAAAATTTTTTTAACATTTATTCATTTTTGAGAGACAGAGTGTGAACACAAGAGGGGCAGAGAGAGAGGGAGACACAGAATTCAAAGCAGGCTCCAGGCTCTGAGCTGTCAGCACAGAACCCGACGCGGGGCTCCAACCCACAAACCGTGAGATCATGACCTGAGCTGAAGTTAGACACAACTGATTGAAACACCCAGGCGCCCCTAAACGAGATTCTTTATGACTCAGGCACACAGTTAAAATTATTATGAAATTGTACTCTTTTCAAAGGATTTTTGTTTTATAAAATCAAGCAGTAAATATTTTATTTCTAGAATTCTGTAGTCGGTATTACGGCATTCAGCGAACACTATGACAAGCATTCTGTTCTAAAGAATCAAGATTGGATCGATATGCAATTGGATAGGAAGAAGTCAATAACAAAATGCCTGGGTGAATTACAAATACTCCAGCTTTCTAGAAGTTATTTTATTCATGTTCTTATACATCATACTTTCTTTATATATAAGGAAATATCTAGTACACAAAAATTATTAGCAGGCAATGGACTACCCATAACTTGAAATATCAACATTGATGGAAAAAGATTGTGCAGATAGACAAATGGGATGGCACAGTATTCCTGCATGTATGAACAGTCTATCTTTGTTACTGTCACTCATATAAGTTTAAAAATTCAGTGGCAAGGGATATTTTCCTCTGTTACTAGCTATATTCCTCCTTTTAAATAATTTTCCAACTTCCAGATCCATTTCTTTCAAGTCTCCTCAAAATGTGTTTCTCAAACAGTACCTGACTGCCAAACATTCAGATTCCCAAACTTCAGTATTCTCATCTCTATTTGTTATAGAAAGTAGTGAAATAAAATAAATGATGCATTTTCTTGATAGGAAGAGAGTTTATACATTGTTTTGATACCTGAAATATTAACATTACAATGCACCAATTTTCTGTCTTAAAATTAACTACATTTTCATTTGTATTTGCTGCAACTTTCACAGTATAAACATGTGTGTCCCTACTAATCACTTTGTCATCTATAGGAACTGTGATCATATTTAGTGTCAGACACAGTATTGAGGTTTTTCTAGGACCAGAAAATCCCACTGTTAATGTTGTTTCATTACTATATATGAGGAAGAAAATAATCATTGAAATAATATATTTGAAAGAGATCTTTAAACTGCTAAATATATATACACATAAAGTGGAAAAGTAAGTTAAATCTTTGTTGAACTCTTCCATCTACATTAACACCCAATTCATCCATTCACAAATGTATTTATTCTTTCATTCAGCAAGCACTTATGCCATGTGAAACATAAAATATGCAAAATTATAATGCATATAAATCTATTTTATTTTCAGTTAACATCATCATTTGAAGGAGAATAACTAACTTATAACTTACTTTTCCCCTATTACCTGGAATCATAAAACAAGGAATCCTCCATTCCCTTCCCTAATTTCTGCATACTTCCTTCCCTTTTATCAATGATCTCTATGAAAAATCAGAAAGTAATACTGTAAAATTGATGAAGACTGTCCTCACTCTATTTGATAAGTTTTTGAAATGCAAAGGGCCACTATGGATAAATTTAAGTATTTGAATAATTTAACTTTTATTAGATGCATTACTTTCAAATATAGCATTTACTTATTTTATTTTATTTTTTTAATTTTTTTTTCAACGTTTATTTATTTTTGGGATAGAGAGAGACAGAGCATGAACGGGGGAAGGGCAGAGAGAGAGGGAGACACAGAATCGGAAACAGCCTCCAGGCTCTGAGCCATCAGCCCAGAGCCCGACGTGGGGCTCGAACTCACGGACCGCGAGATCGTGACCTAGCTGAAGTCGGACGCTTAACCGACTGCGCCACCCAGGCGCCCCAGCATTTACTTATTTTAAAGTATATTGGCTTCTTGCTTCCGATTCTGTCTCCCTCTCTCTCTGCCCCTCCCCCATTCATGCTCTGTCTCTCTCTGTCTCAAAAATAAATAAACATTAAAAAAATTTTTAGGGGCGCCTGGGTGGCGCAGTCGGTTAAGCGTCCGACTTCAGCCAGGTCACGATCTCACAGTCCGTGAGTTCGAGCCCCGCGTCAGGCTCTGGGCTGATGGCTCGGAGCCTGGAGCCTGTTTCCGATTCTGTGTCTCCCTCTCTCTCTGCCCCTCCCCCGTTCATGCTCTGTCTCTGTCTGTCCCATAAATAAATAAAAACGTTGAAAAAAATTTAAAAAAAAATTTTAAAAAAAATAAAGTATATTGGCTTCTAAAATAATAAGAAAATTAAATCCAAGTTGAATGGACTTTGAATGGCAAGTGCACCTTGAATACACAAATGTTTCTGACACAATTATTCCTCTTTCAAACAATAAGTAATAAATGGCATTGTTGAATCACTATATTGTACATCTAAAATGAATATGACACTGTATATTAATTACACTGGTATTAAAATTTTAAAAACAATTACTACTCTTTCTTCTTTGTGAAATATATCAATAAAATGTAAAATAAAAGGTTGTCAAGTCCTATACCCAATGGTTTTATTTTCTATCAGTACAAACAGGTATTCTGAGACATGCTTATAATTTCCATATACTTAGAAACACTGTGTGGAGCTATCATTAGCTATGTTTCAGAGTGCCATTCTCAAAAAAGACTACTATGCAAAAATGGCATTTATTTAAAAAGTATGACCTAGAAAAATATGTTGCCATTTTATTAAATGGTGTATCATTCAGGATCTAATTCAAATGCCATCTCTACCACAATTCCTCTTCTGATTTCCTCCTCCTCCCTTCCCAGATGTTCTCTCACAGTCTCTCTCTCCCTTTGAACATCCATTGCAATTTATTTTTACATTTTTTAGGTTATCATTGTCAAATCATGTATTGTAATGGTTTGGGCAAATGCCTCATCTTCCATGATACTATGCTTATGTAATGTAAAGACTCTTGCATATTTTTCATTCCCATTTTTGGTATCAGAATGCCTTACCCATATCTGGGATACCTGGGTGGCTCAGTCCATTAAAGGTCTGACTCTTGATCTTGGCTCAAGTCATGATCTCATGGTTTGTGAGATTGAGCCTCACGTCAGGCTTTCTGCGGACAGCACCAAGCTTGCTTGGGATTCTCTCTCTCCCTCTGCCTCTCTCTCTCAAAATAAATAAATAAACTCTTTTAAAAAATGCCTTACACATCTGTTGCTCAAAATGTTTTTTTTTAATGAAGGGGTTTATGCTTTAAATAATTCCTTGAATAAATTCATAAAAGGAATTAAAGACATCCCCAGTCATTTATTTCCTGTACCAGAAACTTTGGTGCTTTATTTCTAATTTTAGTCCTGTATACTAGATTACTTTTATTGTTCTTTAATAGGCTTAAATTTCTTACCCTTGTTTCTCAGAAATAAACTATAAACTCCTTGAGGCCAAGGACAGTCTTTTAATACTTTTATACTCCCAGAATTCTTAGCATGGGGGTGCTAAGCAGGAGTGTTCAATTCAATGGATTAAATGTTGCTAAAGGCTCATCTAAGAAGCATTTCAGAACATAGCTAGCAGCCATCTCCTGGGCAAGGGAATCAAATCCCTCAAGATTTGCTTACCATGGCATTGACATTTACGTGATCCCCTTTCCTATTCCGAATGTGAATGCAGGATATTGGCAAATTCAGTCCTACCCCAGTAGCCAGATTTCTCAGGTCAGCAGCACTGTATTCCCCACACAACAGCAAACTGTTATTATCAGAACCAAGTCCTAGAGAGGCCCGATAGAGATAGGTCTGAGAAAGTCTCTCAACTGTAGTGACATCTATCGTGGCTGATGTCATACAAGGATTTGAAGCCATCTTCCTCCCTTGCCTCAGCTCTTCTGAAGAGCGACAGCAGCTTTGAGAACAACAAGCTGGGCTCTGGTTCACCTTGATGCACACAAAGAAAAGTAAGCACCCCAGAAATAAAAAGGAAATAGAGGCCAGGGCAATTACTAAATACAGGTTCTGGGTGGAAAGGTGGCCTCCTCTTTCCCAGGTATCTTCAAAGTCTGGAAGGACCTGAGGGGCAAAGTTGCTCAACAGTATACCTAATGTGACAGAAGAGGAAAGTGAGGGGTCTCCATGGTCTTGAACCACTACCACCACCCTCTGTTTAACTGCATCAGTGGGAAGAATGAAGCGGGCAGTACGAAGTTCTCCCATATTGGCTGAAATTCTGAAGAGGCTAGAGTCAGAAGCCTGAAAAATATGGTAGGAAAGCCAAGCATTAGAGCCACTGTCTGCATCCTCTGCTACCACTTTTGTGACCAAGTGTCCAGTTCTGGCAGAGCGAGGCACAATTTCCACTGGAACAGAGCCATTTCTGGGCAAGGGAAACAGGATGACTGGAGCATTGTCGTTCCTATCTACCACAAATAAGTTCACAGTCACTGCTGCACTTCTGGGAGGAATGCCACCATCCCGGGCTTCCACTTGGAAGTGAAACCCCCTGAGTTGCTCAAAGTCAAAGGAAATTTTGGCAGTGATAGCCCCACTGGTTGATTCTACTGCCACCAAGCTAGAGGCTGTCTGCCTTTCAGAGATAATATCCAACAGCTCATAGAAGACAAGGCCATTTTCCCCTAGGTCCGGATCCTGGGCAAAAACATGGCCTAAAGAGGCCCCAGGATCATTGTTTTCAGCCACAAAAAGTTCCTGTTGTGGTTGAGCAAAATTTGGTGAATTGTCGTTCACATCAGCAACAGACACAGTCACTGTCCTGCGGGTGCTCAGTGGGGGTGAGCCACCATCTGAGGCAGTAATCAGGACATGGTATTCGCTGACCTGCTCCCGGTCCAGCGGCCCATCAGTCAGCAAGCTGTAGTAGTTGTCAAAAGAAGCCTTCAGCTTAAAAGGGCCTCCACTGGACATGCTACAAAAGACCTTACCATTGGGACCGAGGTCCTCGTCCCTTAGACTGAAGAGAGCAATCACTGTGCCAGGGGCTGCGTCCTCAGAAACTGAACTGGATAGAGTCAGGAGGTTCACCTCAGGGGCATGATCATTCACATCAGTCACTTCCACCAGCAGTTTGACAGTACTAGCTAGACCGAAGGTACCCTCATCCCTCGCCTCAATGTATGCTTCCAACAACGTTTCAGGTAGACCGAGTGAAGCAGCTACCCGCACTTCCCCATTTCTAGGGTGCACGTGAAAGTAGTGTCGCAGCTCCACCAGCGTGCTATTGCTTAAGGAGTACCGGATTTCCCCATTGGAGCCTTCATCCGGGTCCGAGGCCTGAACTCGTAATAACAAAGTCCCGTTCGGGGCAGTCTCTGGTACCTTGGCACGGTATACTGTGCGCTCAAATACAGGCGCATTGTCGTTTGTGTCCACCACTATGATGGTAACTTGTGCTTCTCCGGAGCGCGCGGGCTGCCCTCCATCCTTAGCGGTGAGCAGTAGCTGGTGGGTGGCACGCTGCTCCCGATCCAGCGCTTTCTCTAATACCAACTCCGGGTATTCACTGCCGTCGACTCGCGACCCCATGATCAAGCGAAAGTGCTGGCTGGGGCTCAGGGTGTAGGTCAGGACACCGTTGCTTCCCTCGTCCGCATCTAGGGCCTTAGGAAGAGTAAAGCGGGCTCCAGGCAACAGGAACTCGGGTATGTGCAGCTGCACGTCGCCGGCAGGGAAGACAGGAGAGTTGTCGTTGATGTCCACGACGTGAACTCGCATCTTGTGTAGCTCCAGCGGGTCCTCCAGCACCAGCTCATAGGTCAAGACGCAGGCAGCTTTAGTCCCGCACAGCCGTTCGCGGTCTGCCGGCTCTCGGACCACCAAGCTACCGCTGGCCAGATCCACCCCGAAGTAGGGCTCGCGGAGGCTGGAAAGTAAGCGAAAGTTCCGCAAGCGTAGAGCGGCCGCTGACAGCCCCAAGTCCGCGGAAACATTACCTACAGCTACGCTCCGCACGGTCTCCTCCAACACTGAGTATTCCAGCTGTCTGGCGGCAGAGCAGCAGGAGACCCACAGACATAGAACCGCCACCCTCCAGCCCACCATCCTCCTCCCTCTTGGCGTCCCCGCTCCACCAGCAGTGACCCAGAACCATGCTCCGGACTCCCGGAGAGCACGAACTGTGGTAAAGAGCAAGAGCCGGCCGCCCGCCGAAGCGGACTCGAGGTGCACAGACCGCCGACGTTCTGCCTCTTGAATACACTGGAATTGCCCCGGGCTGACGGGCTGGAAGCTAAACTCTCGGGACTGGAGGCTTGGCAGCCGTCTGGGAAAGCGGAGCTGGTCGGTGCAGAGGAGCGCAGCGCCGCCTAGGGGTGCAGAGACGAGGTAAACTACTCAGGCTAGGGAGGGGCCATCTCCATGCCCTTCGAGCTGGGTTCTCTCCACAAAGTCCCAGCAGCCGGCGGGGGGGCGGGGAACAGCGAGGAAGATGCCGTGAGAAATTAACACATCTTCCTTTGAACCCTGTTTCTAAGGAAAACGCCCTAAGAAGGCCTCCGTCTTAACTTCCACAACCTCTGACTGAAGACTGCTCGTAATTGAGGCTGAGCTCGTTTGGGCTTCTCTCTCCACTGTTCCACAGGGGAGCGTCCAGTTCCGGGCGCTCGGACCCACGGAACCCCTCCAGTGCCGGCGAAGAGATCGGAACTCCCAGAGAAATCGCGGGGCGGAGGCGGCGAGAGGTGGAATCGCGACCCTGAATGACCACGCCTTCGAAGCTCAAGGAAACCGGAAGCCCCAAGCTAAGGGCTGAAGCATTACATTCTAGATTCCTAGCCTCTCCACTGAGGGTTAAAGTCTCTGTGCACCTTCTTATATATGGGAAGCCAAGATTTCAACAGAGGCGACCAGTGAGGAACAAATTGGGTAATAGGGTCTTCCCCAAGCTTCCCTCCCACCCCCCATCCCCTGCTCTAGCTTTTCGAGACACCCAGGTGGGCGAGCGCCAGGCTTATGGTTCGTTCCGCTTTTTTGTGGGTCAGCAATTTCCCTTTCCTCAGGAGCCCCTACTTGCTTTACAAGCGGCCCTTGACGCTCTGGATGAGACAGGTTAAAAACCAGTCAGTACAAGCCCCTGAAACTCAGAAAAACTGACACTCCTCCCCAGTGGGACGTGTGAAGTGGAAGTGGAAGAAAGTTACTGAGATACTCTCCAGAGTGTAACCAGAAAACTACTGTGTAAATTTATTCTCTGTAAATATTTAGAAAACAGCATTGAGGCAGGGTAGGAACTAACTGCCCATATGTTGTCCAACTTCGTTTTTAAGCCGGTATTCTGAAGGGAAATTGGGACATTGGTCTGTCCTTGTAAAAACACCTCCGAGCTACAAGAAGTTATCTCCAAATTTGGCCTTGCGCCCAACAACCCGCGGCTTTCCCTGAGGGGGGGGCGAACTGAAAAAGAGTGATTTCAATGACTATTAAACACTAAATTCCTTAAACTTCTTTTAATGTAATTGCAACGTCGAAAGCCCCAGGAACCAAAATTTGAAAGACAAAAGCTAGATAATGATCAAGAATTGAAGCTTTCAGGGCACTGTATTTTCTGTTCAGAAAACTGCCTACAAGTGTTGATAATCACTGAAGCTGAAGGCTGGATACATGGGAGCTAATTACACAATTCTCTTTACTGTATGTTTGAATACACTGTTATAATAGTTTTTAAAACTGATGATTAAAATGGGGGTGGGGGAGGTAAGCTGTTCCAGCATTCTGGTTTTAAAACTGAAAGTGGGATTGGTAAATTCATTATGCCACTAAGAACCAATCACCTCCCCAGAACAATACAAACCCAGCCCTTATCTCTTCCAGGAAAGCAGAGTAAGCGCAACATAAGGCAATTTAAATAGTAAATGCCCTTGACTAATTTGTCTTTCTGAGATAAGGAACCAAGAAAATCATTGACACCAAGTCTTGGATAAAATTAAAGCAGGAAATATGTCAGCCCAGTGAAATGTTTAGGTAGAGACATAAATATAGCCATCACTGGGGATCTTCATTAAGATGTGAAATAACCCATAAAAATTAAATTTATTCACCAAATTTCAGAACCAAAACTAATTATCTACTTCAAATGCCAGAGATTAAAATTTGCATTTCCTCGCTTTCATTTAATGCTGCTAACTGCTTTAGGGTGAAAGATTATACTTTTCACTTTTCCAATAGCAGCTGATGAAATACATCTGGAGAGATATACTCAACTTTTGGAATGCCCCTGATTTTGAGACCTACAATCAAGTTCCCAGTTAGACTGGATTTAGGATTTCTGAGCTCTGTCTAGGAGGACAGTGTGTGGGGGTGTAGATTAGCAAGTGGGGAAAAGGAAAAACTCATACTGAAAATCAACATGGAAAATGCTGACAAAAACTCTTCCCCCTTCACACCCCTCTCACACTTTTGGCTTCCCCTTTCCCCCATTTCTCTGTCCAAACTGCCACTAATGATTATTTTCAAAAGATTTAATTTCTGTAAAGAGTAAATGAATAGCGCTCACCTAGTAGGATTTGTCCCAACATCAGCCTCCCTATCTTTAGGCATAACTGGGATTTGTGCGAAAGCATTATTTAGGAGATACTTGGGATATTCGAAAACCCCAAAGATGAGGAAGTCACAAGTTCTTCCTTTTGTATAAGATGACTTGTTGAACATTAAATCATAAATTAACAAAATTTCTCCTTAGCAGAAACTTTCAAATATTTCATTTTGCCATTTTATGCCATTTTCCATAGTTTCCCCTAATTCAGGTATTTTCAAGTTTTAATTACGTGCAAGTATAACTTTAAGTGGACTCAATACAAAAACAGTCTTGATTTCTGCTTGGATTCTATTGCCAAAACAATTATTATAAAGATCTCCCAACCAAACTTGGCCTTAAACTAAATAACTTCAAATTTTTATTTAATAAATAAATTTTGAAATAAATTCAAAAGATTTCTAGCCATAATGCATAAGCTCCTATTAGAGATCTTGCAGCCAAATAGGAAAAAAGTAAATTTGACATACACCAAAGAGTATGTCAGCAAAAGTGATGAAGGATAGAAGCAGAAATGCTCACCTTTAGTCCCGAAAGCTGACCTACAGCCTGCATAGTTTTTAAAAATATCTTTAGGGGCGCTGGGTGGCGCGGTCGGTTAAGCGTCCGACTTCAGCCAGGTCACGATCTCGCGGTCCGTGAGCTCGAGCCCCGCGTCGGGCTCTGGGCTGATGGCTCAGAGCCTGGAGCCTGTTTCTGATTCTGTGTCTCCCTCTCTCTCTGCCCCTCCCCCGTTCATGCTCTGTCTCTCTCTGTCCCAAAAAAATAAATAAACGTTAAAAAAAAATTTTTTTTTAAATAAAAATATCTTTATTTGTTTATGAGAGTGAGAACCAGAGTGTGAGCAGGGGAGGAGCAGGGTGAAAGGGAAACACAGAATCCCAAGCAGGCTCCAGGCTTCACGAGCTGTCAGCACAGAGCCTGACACAGGGCTCGAACTCATGAACTGCAAGATCATCACCTGAGCCAAAGTCGGAAGCTTAACCAACTGAGCCACCCAGGTGCCATGCTTGCATAGGTTTAATAAGGATTAAATATGTGCTGGTTGCTACATCCTTAAAGGGTCTCATGACTGCCTGTATATCTCACCCATAGTTAATATCAAACTGAATGATAAACACCAGAGAAATCTTGTGAAAGCAGTTTTATGAGTAGAAATTCAAAGAAATATTTATGATACTTCCTACATGTTCCCTCCACCTTGAGCACTAAGCATATAACTACAAGCTTCATACAGCAGAAAGTGCAGCTTTTTCTGCACATGGGTCCTGTCCTATGCTACTTAAATAAACTCACTATGTTGCGCCATGTAACATCTCAAGAAATTCTTGGCCATTGTTCTCGACAACCCCACAACAAAAGGATATGTATGATTTTAAACCAGATTTTCTTTTTTAAAGAATTGTTTTAATGTTTACCTTTGAGAGAAAAAGACAAAGCACAAATGGGGGAGGGGGAGAGGGAAAGGGAGAGAGAGAAGAGAGAGAAGAGAGAGAGAGAGAGAGAGAGAGAGAGAGAGAATGGAAGCAGGCTCCAGGCTCTGAGCTGTCAGCACAGAGCCCGACGCAGGGCTCGAACACTAACTGTGAGATCATGACCTGAGCCAAAGTTGGACACTTAACCAGTAAGCTACCCAGGGTGCCCCTAAACCAGATTTTTTCTTAGTGCTTAAGATTATTCCTTGGGAACGTGTTATGTGCTTAAGAAACTAAAAGACAGGACATCAGCAGGATCACATCAAGCACATTTTCATCCTGTAAAGCTTAATGAAGTGTCCAAATCAAGTCTAACAGAGTAGGACTTGTTTGAGAGTAGAGATCTGTATCGCTCAAATTTTGTGTCTTAAGTATCTAGCTGGGTTCTGGGCACACAAATTAAGTGGCTAAAGCACTCTCAATATACAACAACCTATGTCATCCTTTTTTCTTTTTTTACTTACATCCTTACCAATAACACATTACTACAGAATTTCTTTCTCAATTTTCTATTGCCAAGGAACCCGTTTTTCACATAATACATCACATAATACCATATAAAGTATCTTGGACCTTTCTTTTGTGAATCCTCACTCTAACTCTATGTTGTGTTTACTTACTACTTTATGATTATGTAATAATTTTCCAAAAATTACCTTTTTCTAAAAATTGTTTTCTATTTCATCTTCAAAGTATAGCCCTCAGAACCTAAAGTCATACTCCAGGTTGGTCATATCTTATCCAAAAAGAGGATATCTGGCCCTTTCAATGCAGTCTGGCTGAGTCCAAGGACCCAGAGGGAGTCCCACAGGACCAGTGAAGAGGGTCGTTGGCTTCTCCCAGAATGGAAATCAATCTTCCTGGATGGAAACGCAAACCGAGAGGAAGGGAGAGCAGAGTTTACTGAAGATAGACAGAGCAGAGTCAGAAAGAGAATCTGGGAGACTCAGAAAGGAAAGGAGAGACAGAGTCTTGTCTTTGCTTGGGGCTTGGGGTTTTCGTTGAGGATGGTGGTCTGGTATATGTGTCCCCTCAGGCATCCAAGAATTGGTCAAAACGATGAGTTTTTAGACGTCCTCCATAAGTCACTGAGGCCCTTGAGTCAGTGGTCTTGGAAAACATTCATGACAACCTCACCTAGTCATTCCTTAGATGTTAATCTGTTGTGCTGGAAGACTCCAAAGAAATCATGAACTCCTTGACCTTTACAAGGAGGACGTACATTAAGGCATGTGTAAGAATAGATCTAGAAAGGGAAACTGAAGGGACCCCATGAAAAAACTGCCTTTTTTGCTCCTTTTCCTGCTTCAGTTCTTGCTAGGACCTAGGCCCCTACCTTCCTTCTGAGTTTCTCAGACTCTCTGTCTGAATCTGCTCTCTCTCTGTATCTTCAATAAACTCTGCTCTCACTTCCTTTTGGTTCATGTTTGATTTCCATCCTGGGAAAAGCCAAGGACCCCCTTTGCTGGTCCTGTGGGACCCCCCTCTGGCTCCTTGAACTCAGCCAGCCTGCATCACTTTTTTTTTTTTTTTTTTTTGAGAGAGAGAGGGAAAGAGAGAGAGAATGCAAATGGTAAAGGGAGAGAGAG